TAGCCGGTCTAGGTCTAGACATGTGCACTCATGAAGAACACCCCACCCTAGCCCCCCTTCCCAGAGGGCTAAAGATGACCCAGAACCAGAAAGACAATAAGTACTTGAGTCTGCGCCAAGCCTCCGAGACTCCTCTTCCCGCCTGGTCAGTCAAGAACAGGGCAGTGATTCCAGCCCTTTAAGAGCTTTTCTGGATAGCATCCAACATTCAGCCTCGTCTGTCTGTAATTCTCTTTAAATCTTTTGAGGTTTCCCTGTTACTGAGTACTCCCCTACCCTTCTCCTTGCCTGATGATTAAGCATTTAGGGAGATGTTATTTTTTTCCACCACATACCTGTTATTTGGGTAGAGATTTCTTCTTAATTCCCCAAGCCAAAAGAATAAAATACCTACTTCATTTTGACTCATGGTCTGAGCAAACTTAGATATGGAATGGAATGGACTCGCTGTAGGAAACCTTTTTAAGAGAAGACTGAGTATAATTTAAATGCATAATAGAGTTCTACCCCATTTGCTGAAAGTCATCCTAAAGAAGGCTGATATAGTCTGTTTAATGCTAGTAATTATATAGTGGAAACACATACCCTTGCAGACATGAAGTCAGAGGGCTCCTGCCATCCTGGCTGCTTAGGCCAATTCATTGAGCAGTCACGGAAGAGCCACTGGAAAATACCCCAGCCAGATAAACAGGGACTGTGGAATGGCTTCTCATCCTATAAAGAAGTTACCTGACCCAGCAAGACTAATAACCAAGTGAATCTCAAATTTTACACATATGAAAATACACTAAGTGGCCACCAATGTCACTTCCCTGTTCCAGAATCTCCTGGGTTCTTTCCTTACCCATTCCTCCCTCTTCTCTACCATTCACTTCCTCCTACTCTCCTCCCATCTCCACTTCCTCCACGCTCATCACCCGCACTGCGCCTATGCTCAGGCTGTTCTCAAAGTCAAATGCTACCTTCCTGCCTATCTTGTCCCACCCTAATTGCTTCTGCTAAGGCCCTGCAGCACTCTGTGCCACAGACTGTGTTTCGATCTTCTGGTTCCACACTGCTTTATAATCCAAATTGGTTCCATCCATAACAGCCTATCAAGGTCCTCCCAAATAGGGAGTGTCTTTCTCTTAAAGTACCTACAATGCTAGGCAAAAAGTTGGTGTTTAAAAAGACTGGTTGATCAATCAACATGTTTGATTTAGAAACGAAAATAAAATAGCCTCATGCATCAGCTGGAGCAGCCATGGTTGAACCTTCCTACTCTTGCACCATCTCTGGACCCAGCATCATCTTGCACATGATTTGAAGAATATAGATGATGGTTTTCTCATGCCAGAACAAGTAGGTCTGTCTGGTTCTCTAAAGACAGTAATTACTGACTTAAGAGTTTTTTCTATTGGAACGAGCACTACCACCCACAGGGACTGGAGGGCCATGGAGTATTCATTAGGACCACACTGCCGTATCTACAGCTTCAGGTGAGGCCAGTCTGACCTTAGTAAGCCCCCAGCCACAAATGTGCAGTAATGAAGGTAAGAACTAGTTGCTGTCCACTTGGCTTCTAGGGACAGGGTGCGAACCATATAGCTTACAGCGTCCCACACTAGCTACTTGATGCTGCTTTGAAAGAAGCTACCTCTGAAATCCACAGAATTGCTTCAGGGCCCTAAAGGGACCACTTTACTTCTACAAACTGGACTGGGTTGATCCCCAATCCCACCTCTCCCCCTGCTCCCACTCAGAACACGCGCATTGCAAGGTTTGCCAAAAACCTGTAATCACAAAAGAGAAAAGGAGAGCAGCTGATCAAGATGGGACCCTGTGGATGGCATGAAAAAAAAAAGGGGGGGGTAGGGGTGGGGAAAGAAGCATACCAAGTGTTTTGAGGAAAACAACTTAAAAATTAATGAGCTCTCAAGAAAGGAGGCATTCACAAGAGAATCAATCAGGCTAGGTTTTCTGAGCACCTATCAGTTGATCAAGAAACACTTACCGCACGCCTGCCATGCTTAAGAAAATGTTGATGTGGAAATGAAGAGGCAGCATATGTAAGAAAGAAATGTTTGGGAGAAACAGATTTTAGCTTCTGACCTCAGGCACTTATAACCTAAGTGGTGCTAATCAAATCTAAACCACTCCTCCTGAAGGCTCTTTATACTTACAAACTCGTCAAGGTTTCTTTCATGAGTGCATGTATTTCATAAGCATCCCATTGCTACTGCCTGTTAATGCCATGGGGGCGGTGGGTAGGTAACTTTCAATAGTGGTAGTTAAGGAAGGCTTTGCAGAGGAGATCAAATTTAAACTGGGTCTTGAGGAATGGATAAATTTGGAACTGCAGAGCAAAGGCTGGAGAGTTTTCCAAGGCAGAAAGAAGCTCACAATTCAGCAAAGAACTTAGGTATACATAGGCCTCTTTATAATATGATGAATGCTCTCTCACCAGTATAAACAATTATAAAGGAAGTGCTAAAAGGGGACAACGACGTTTAGTGGAGGTGATATCTGAACTGGGCTTTGAGGAATGATGAGGCTGTTAAAGGACATTAAAGGTACTAGGACCAGAGAGGCAAACACTGAAGCCAGAAAGAGCAAGTTTGGGACAAGAATGTCTATATCAGGCCAATACTTTTATATTATTAAAGATTCCATTTTCTTTGTACATGCCCGCTCCCAGTCTTTCCAATAAAGCTAGACCATGAAGCTTAATAACAGGAAAGGATGTGCACTAGAATAATAAGTTACTACTTAGCTGTGACCCTCAGTCTTTATTATTTTATTCTCTGGCATCTCTAGGAAGAAGACAGAGTCTTGAAAGTGAGAAGAAAAAAAGAGTTCTCAATTCTAAGAGCCCTGGTCACAAAGTGTGGACGAGGGAATATGGAGTTTTACTCTAAGCCATAGAGGGAACTTGGGATTTGATGTAGAGAGAGTCCTTTGATTAGGGAGAATGTGGAATGACTCATAGGGTAGGAAGATAAAAAAATTTCGAAAGAATGAGTGTTTATAAAGAAGAACAGACTTTACTGCAACTTCCTACCTCTCAGGGTCAAACCTTGTGGGGCACAGGCAAGGGTGGAGATGGAGAATGAGACAGAAATTGCATGGTGAGTTAATGGACTACAAGGCTGCAAGCCACTCAGAGAAGTCCTACTTGTAACTCAGAGGCCATACCTAATACATCATTGAGGCACTAGCTCACCTTTGAGAGAGGGAGCTATCTAGCTAGTCTGAGAAAATACTCTTGGCTTCCCAAATCTTGAGCAAGATGTTCAGGACATCTCAAAGTTCCAACCTCCTCTCTTCCCACCTCCACCAAGAGCCAAGCAGATAAATAGTCATAAGGTTGGGAAAGGAGGCTGTTGAAGGTAGAGACCTTGAGGCCAAAGGCAATGCCAGAGTTGTGGTCAGAAGCAGGTCATACTAACATGTGCACAAAAGCCAAGAAACCACTCTCATCAACCAGCAGATTCGGCAAGGGCAGTGAACACAGACAGGATGGGACACCAGCAGCTGGACTGTCCAAGGACCTGAGCACAAGCATTGGAGAATCTGCTTCCCCTGTCATCCAGAGATGACCTTTACTCCACCATCCCCCAGATGCCATCTTATGAAAGAAAACAGGAAGAGGCTTTCAAAAGCTGGCATTCATTCCAAAGAGGCCATATGAAGCCTGAGACAGGCTCAATAAGAGAATTTTTCTTTGATTGGCAAGTTTAAGGCCATCCACCTCTTCCCACACCCTCCCAAAGCCAGATGGGGCTCATGAGGGATTTTAAATTAATGATATAAAATGAAGATACTGCAACTTCATTTGCACGGTCTGAGTTTTAACGTGTGGGAAGTGGGAAAAGAGAAGAACATTGATAGGGTAAGGTCTGAAAGCCCACAGGGAACAGTCACAGTGGTTTGCTGGCTGACAATCACTCTGGGTTTTCTTAAATGCAGATCCCAGTGCTCCAATTTCAGACCTGCTAAATCAGAATCCCTCGGGGGAGGCCATGAACTCTGCATTTCAACAGCTCTCCTTGTGACTCCAATTTGGAAACCGCATGGAAGCACTGGTACAAGCATTCACCCTGGACAGGACTTCATTCTCTCCAAGACTGAGGGAAAAGACAAGGGCAGTGCCCATGGGCAACTGCAGCAACTGGAGAGGTGACTGCAGTAAGGAGGTGGGACAGAAAGTGGAGGTGGCTCATGTAAACTGGTCTCGACACACTTGCCAGTGAACAGCAGAGATAGGAAGTAGTCATGTGGGCTGCAAGAAACTTTAATTGTCCTGTTGTCTTTTAAAGTGGGAGTTACTGAGCCTGTGTAGGCTGTAGAAATGGGCAAGTGGTGATTGAGTATGCAAATCTGAGAAAGAGTAACTGGAAGAGTGCTGGAGAAGTCTTGCAGAACCAGCTAGGGCTCAGAGCGCATGGCTTAGCTCTGACAACTTTCCCTCAGCCACTGAGCTAAGGAGGTCAGGAGGAAATGGTGATAAAGAGAATCAGTTTTTTTTGGGGGGTGGGTGCGGGGGGGTCACCTAAGGGATGGTAAAGAGACATGCCACAGTGGGGCCTCTCGGAATCTGGAGGTTAAGATCACTTCCCTTGAAAATTTTAGCTCCCATTCCACATGTAGTAAAGACAAAATCACCAAAAGGGAAGGGAATTTCATGTTTTTTACCATACCTATTTTTCAGAAGTTTTGGTTTTTACAAAAATGTTTATATAAACATGTAGCTTTAAAAAAATACCCAAAGAGTATTAAGACATTTTCAGATATATAAAATGTATAGTAATACTTTTGATAATACATTTATAAGTTGGAAAATAGGAAAAGATAGATCCTGACCTAATGACTGCCTAAACAATTTATCAAAATATTACTGAGGAAATAATCACAAATATTTCAATATTATTAACTTGGCCTGTTTAATACTATGTGTATCCAATATACTCTCTATGCTCATTATATCTGAAGACTTGCCGCTAGCTGATGAATAAAATTAGTTGGTTCCATTGCACACTTTTATTTTAGGATACTTGCAACAGACAAGACAAAAAAGTTTGGTTTCAAATACATCAAAGTATATATTCACATTTATAGTACATAAAAAACATGCATGAAAAGGATGTCTAAAATTTTTAAATTTAATTTCAAACATCAAATTTTAAGTAGACTGACATAGATATTTTGTGTTGCTCAAATCAAGTGAAAATTACATGGCTTGCTGAATGGCTTAATGAATTTTAAAGATTTTTCTTAAGATTTGTGATAGCTTTCTCTAACTGAAGGTACTGTTTTAGAGGAGCTTTGAACATGTCCTGATGAATATACACAGATATCAAAAGTAAAAGCAGAAAAAATTACACCAGTGTTTTACTCTGGTTTTTGTAATACGGATAGGACTTTTTGTTATTGTTTTCATATTTTACAAAAATAATAGATATATTAGAAAGTAAAAAAAAAAAAAAAAAATTAAAAAATAGTCCTATTCACTGGTCTGCCAGTAAGAGACCACAAAATATTTTCATGTATTTACATGAATGTGATAATCAAAATAAGTTATGTGACCATGTGACCATTAAAGATGACTATGGGGAAGGAAAGCCCACTTAAACATGTATCCTGGGAGAAATATATTCAGTTCTCTGAAAAATGTGGTAAGTAAACACTGGACACACAGAAGGTGAAGGCTGAGGTCAACTCCACTTTCTAGGGCTGCCAAAGAGATGCTCACTTCCTAAATTCTTCCACAGAGTCAGACTCTTCAGACAATTTTTGATACATGTAATATAGAAACAGGACACAGATAACTGTGGTGTTTCCTTCTTTAAAATTTGTCAGTTACAACACACCATGATCGATCAGATTATTGCTAAAGCATCATTATTGGCAAAACTTCCCTAACACACTCCATGCTTCTAAAAATGACCAGCATGAAGCAGATACACAGTATCTCCACATTTAAAAAGTCCCAGAAAGGTTTTGGAAGTGGCATTAATGAATGTTCATTAAGAGAAAAGGTTTCTCTGAATCGAATGCTTCATTTTACCTCACTTATGAGGTAGACTCTTCTAGTTCTATACAAGCCAGACTCAGAGTTCAGAGGGTGTTCAAGCAGGTCATGTGATAATGGCCAGGAGCAACAGCAATGATGAACCTAGAGAGTAGACAAGAAAATACATTCCTTTGGTTTTAACTCATCTGCATGGTATATGTTAGAATAGACTTCTACTTAATGCTCCATGAATTAAAAACACTTCAACCAAATAGATCCCCTACTTGGGATCTCCTCGGCTTCTCTACATTTTCCTTTTTACTGGCCAAAAGCACAAATGCCAGACAACATAAATCTTGGGTATAGGGGGCTGATTGCATTTAGGGCTCCCATTCTTCCCCCATCCTTGAAACCTCCCCCTTTGCTATTTAACTTTGCAGTTCCTTTCTACTTTGTGCTGAGCCGAGTCACTTGCTTCTGGGGCATGCTGGTCAGCACAAGCATGCAGACTTGAAAGGGGCTTGTGGGATAGGGCTTGGCTGCTGTTGCCCTCTGCCACCTCCGTGAAAACATGCCTGGGCTAGCTAATGGGAGATGAGAGAAACATGGAAAAGGGCTGAGTGGCTCCAGTCTAGGCCAACTCCCCTTGTAAGACTCCCCGGGCATGACTAGAAGAACTGCCCAGAGCCGCCCAGCCTGAATCATTGCTCTCATAAACTAAATGAATGTTCACTGTTGCACATATGCATTACTTTGTGGCAACAGGTAATTGTTACAACAGGTTTTCATTTATTTGACATCTCCATCGAAATTTTCTGAGGGGAAGATCTGATAGTAAAGACCTTCACTGTTAGTATTTCCTGACATTCTGTAAACCACAGATTCAGTCATCTAATACTGAGCACCTACTGAGAGTGTGAAATGCTCTCTCAAGAGCTCTCATTTAATCCTCATAACCACCCTGAAAACTAACTTCCCCTTTTGGAGAATCTGAGGAAATGAGGAACTTGAGGCAGACTGATTAAATGATTTATCTAAAGTCACCATAAATTGGCAGAATCAGGGCCCAAATCGAAGACCTCCAATTCTGAGACTAGTTACATTTTCCATGACATCAGAAATAACTAAGGCTAAAAACTAGCAGAATGTCATTCTGTCCAGTCATTACAGAAAGAAAAAAAAAAACTGTTTAAAAAAGGCAATTGAGTTTTTATTCCATCATCCATAACTTTAGTATCTGACCACTCCAGGCCTGTTTTCTTCAAGCATTCCACCCTTAGCATTCTTGTTGCTTCAATGGCCTTTTAGATATTGCTATTCCCAGTTGAGAAACGCCCAACCAGAAACTAAATCATATAGACCCTGTACCATTTCCCAATTTCATCTTAAAGGATTTTATGTTCAATAGCCCCTCTCCAGCCAATCACTAATTATGTAAATTACAAAACTGAAGATTAATTGTTCCTCGGTGGCAATACCAATTCGAAAAAAGCACACCCACACAAATACAAATTAGAAATAGTGGATCCACAAAATATGAATTCGTTTTCAAAGGTGATCTTTTAAAGAATGTAATAAGCCAAATTTGTAGACATCTCTTTTGTGATTTCAGTTCTAAAAAAATATAGAAACAAATCAATTAAATATTCTAAGATACAGTAGTATTCTAGGGCTTTTTTTAATTGCAGATGGTTATAGGGGTAGACCGGAAAAGGGGGAAGCAGGACATAATAGAATGAAATTGACATTTTGGCAAATGAAAATCATACCACATGAGATGTTACATAGACGTGCTAGAAATTTTGAACTCCAAATTTAGGTTACTAAATCTAGCTTGGTTTTATTAAAATATTGATTTTATATTAATATTTAAGCCCCTAGATACTGAAATAAGACAGAAAAATAATGCTTTAGTTAAAAAGTAGTTAAAACTTTTAGAGTATAACATTTTGTCAGTGGTTGCCATTTTAGAATTTAAAAATCAAATTTCCCTTTGCTTTATACTTCCTTTATGCATGTAACTTACAGCAGAAAATTCCCCTTTAACAACTTAGAGCATAGTATAAAATACCACAGTGGTTTGCAGGCCACTAATTCTGTTACAGATGAAGAAATTCAATTATCTCTATAAAATTCAATTCCTTAGAAAATGTGTTTGTGATTGACTAAGTATGTTTTTAAAACGTGGTGATACCAAATGTTATTATTCAAGATCTTAATTTAAAAGTTGGAATGAAGTAGCTTGTGGTTCTTGGGTAAAACAAAGACACCAATATGTTTTTTTCAAGATAAAAATATTTTCAATAAAAAAGGCAATCTAGAATATTTTTATTCCAGATGTTAAGCTAGGCTTATTTAAATCTTCATTGTCTCACTGCAGCTCAAACATACTTAAAAACTGCAATCATTTAAAAGTGGGTCATTTGTATTAAAATCTTAATTCATATGGCATTTACATTTAAAATAGTATGCTCACATAGTTTAGAAATAAGATCTTTCATGAAAAAAACTTCAACTAAATGAGTGAATTCTAGTTTGAGTTCAAGAAAGGTGGTCTCAGTGGAGAACTGTTGTTGGGCAGTGGTTTAAGGCCTCTGATAATTGCTACTTCTCATCAGAAAAATCTACATATACACAACATTCTGCACAAAATTTCAGAGGATTCTCTAGATTAATAATCTCCAGCTGCGAGCAGATGTTAAGTTTTAAACATAAATACATATACATGTTTCCATCCCAACCCCGTCCCCTAAACCATCAACCCATCCTTGGTTGAGGTTATGGCTGGTATCGTTCTTTGCCCAGCTTGCTTGCTCAGCAGCACAATTTCACTGCAGATAGCTATCTATGGCTTCTACTTCCTAGAGTTCTAGGCCCTATTATTAGAATGTGGGCTTCACAGTAGCATCTACCAAGCTTGTGGTTGTCAGTTTTCTACTCACCAATCATAGCAGATCAGTAATGTCCAGCTTCCGTGCATATTCAGACTCACAAACAAGAGTTCTAAGACCTCATTTCAACTGGCTTCAAAAATCCTCTCCGTCTATTCCAATTCAATGTATCCTTGAACATCATGCTCAAACGTATTTTGTCCATCTTCTTCCCACACATATTTGAGAAGCACCTTCACTTTCCTCTGATCTTTCCTAAACTACTTGAAAAACTTTTTAAGCAACCTTATTATTACATACCATTAAGGTAGGTGCAGAGGCAGCTAACAAAACTACTGAAGATAGACTGTAAAATCTGTGGCAAATCCCTATCTCGAACTCCAGGTATTCTATAACGATTAAGGTCATGAAGCTTGGACTGGGCACAGTAACACATTCTGTTCTCTTGTAGCTTTCTAAAGAGTATGCTTTATTCAGTCTGTTGTTGGTTTGCCACTAAACTTGTTACCTGTGAGTCTGATGCAATCAATGTTCTTGACGCCTACTGACGTGGTCAATTTTAAGATTATGCCTTCCTATGTGCCAAATGGCATGACTGCTTTTTTACAAAATCACCATCAGTTTAATCAATTTAACAAATTGTTTCCATACCTATTCACTGTAGCAGATAGTAGTTTTGATGTATGCCTTTGACTTTTTATTCTGTATTCCTGTATTTTTGAACTTAATTTTCAGGTTGGGTTCATCTTGCATGTTTTGATGAAAAGGACAAAAGTCTGTTAAAAAAAACAACCTGGACAGCTACACAGTGCAAATATGTCGTTAAGTAGCAAATGAAGACTGTCTCTACTCTAGCTCTCAGACACATCTGGTGCAAAATGACTGTATTGCAGTACTTCAGTCTGATACTAATATGTCTGCTCCCCACACTTAGGGGCTTTTGATCTATTTTGAAGCAAGGGGGAAAAAAAGATTTGCCAAGTGGGGAGAAAGCCCAAACATACAACTTAATACTTCTCCCCTATTCTTCAGCCCCTTGAAGAATATGTGCCATTATGGACACCAGAGTTGTTACAAAAATCTCCCAATGCAGATAAAATGTCACTAGCAGGCTGCTGAAAGAAATGTTCCCAAGGTGAGGTGACAACGAAAAAGAATGCTAGTCATTCTGTCAACTGAAGTGATGTTGTTAGTACAATGTTGGAAGATTCCTTTTAGATTGCTTATCTAGTATGGTGTGGCAATTTAAGTAGAATTGTTTAAATAGGTTTTCTACCAATACAAAATTGTTGATGAAACCATGATAGTCCCTGGACTGTTTAATGCCAAGCAAAGTAGTGTATTTTAACTTTTGAGGTCCCTTTTGTTACATCCTAAAGCATGTCTGTTTAAAGAAAGCAGTCTGCTACCCAGATAAGTATTGATTCATCCAGAGAATTGAGCTCTTGCAAGGCACAAAGGAAGTCTGGTTGATCTAAAAAATTTTTTAAATATTTCATTATGATGATAGGACTAATTATGAGTACACTATGTCTTACTTAATATTTTTCAGTGGAATCTTTTATAAAACAGCACTTGCTTTTTTCCTAAGAGTACATTTCGAGAGTAAATGTGAATTTTACCTTCTAGTCTGTTTTTGTTTACAGCATAGATCATGTGTATTAGATTATTAATTTGGCACAGACGAGCTCTGAAATAAACTAAAATGCATAACTTACTAGCACTGTGGGGTGTGTGCTGTGTCTGGGAGGGGGTGGGAGGTTATTAAGCAGTGCAGATCTGTCTGCCAGGGAAGTGGAATTTTTATATAACACCAAATTTAAAAAAACGTACTCTTCATATCATACCTCCATTATGTGAAATATACACAATCTTTTTTTGTTTCCATATACATTAGGGCACAAACAGCAAATATAAAATACCCTCTAAAAGAAAAAGATCGGTTTAAATCAAAATCAATTAGAACAATTAAAAATAAGTCCCATAATAACATGGTAAACAACTCAAATGGCTTTTTTTTAATGCTAGGAAAAATGTTCACCTTTCAATGGTGAAAGTACTGTTAACACAGGTAGAGAGCAAACAAGGTAAAAAGTGAAAGCACAGAGACACACACATATATATATAAAAATTGACCAGAAATCACAGGACAGTTAAGCAATGTTTTCTTAAGTATGACTATTTTTTCTTTGTACTTTAAATAGACTAAAATATTTGGTGGGGGGAAATCAGTATTTCACAATTTTAAATTGAAAACCAGATGTAATAAAGCCTCAGGTCATGTTTATGTAAAAAGAAAAAAAAAAAAAGGAACCACATTGTACTTTTGACAATCATAGGATTAAAGCTTACAAAGAACACATCTACCATCTACATCACAGTGCACAGAGGATGCAGTTTTTGAGGACTACCACAGGGAAACAAGAACAGACTCTGCATCCATCATATTGCATTACAAAATTAATGCTGTATTAGAAAAATCTCACCTCCCATGGTCAGTGTTCCAGCTGGTAAGCACCTGAGGGTAGGCTATCAGAATCTGAGGACATTGCTCAGTCTGGATCAGGACATCCAGTTTGTTCACCTGCCACTGGCTGATGCACTTAATAATCTCAACACACCATTTACAAAGAATAAATATATAATATCACATTCTGGCTTCTTAAGCAGGATAGTCTGGGGAATGTAGTAGAGGAAAGAGCATCAAAGGCCATATTTTCCCTCAAGAGAGAAGAAATCCATAAAAGCACTCAATTTTCACTTACTGTGAAAAATGTAAATTTCAGATTACATTCAACTCTATAAAGACAGGACTTATACTTACATATACGCACAGGTTCTGAAAAACTTAGCTATGTACTTGACTCTTCTCTATTTCATTAAACCACCAGTTACCTTCCTTGGATCACTAGTGTTAGTCTCTCATCAGGTTGGTGCCAATGGCAACTGTTATAAATCTCACATTCCATCCACAGTAATAAGTGATTGGAGGACACATATCTAAGTATCAGAATGTTGAAAGCCACAGGGCAGCTGAATTTAATCACGACTATTACAAAGTTTAAAGGAGTGAGGGTAAATCACAAGAATACCTACGGTGATCAGCAACTCCTGGGGTACTTGCAACTTTCTTGGGTTTATCAATGGAAGTCCTGCATCCAGGGAACCCCTGGCACACCAGGGCAGCTGCTCATCCTAAAACCACCACTCACTCCTCCTTCGGTATCACTAGAGAAAAGATAAGCATTTTCAAGAGCATAAGGCTACCTATGTGGGCATCAGTATTTTTAGGATACTTGCCAATGGCTAGTTCTTAGGAAGTCCATAAATATCTTACTTAACAGTATGCATTTTAAGAATAGTTGGTAGTACTTAAGCAAATTTGTGAGCAGTGCATGTGCATAAGTTCATCCTTGAAACCTGTTTTCAGACAAGTCCTCTAAAGGTTCTTCTGTTTTTGTCCAGTTATACAGTATTTTACTATCTTTTTGAGATTTTAAGAGCTAAATGAATAACTTAGCATTATATGATTTTTCATATATATATTTTGGTGAAAACATTTATTGCCAACTATGTCCCACATTCTTGTTTCAAATATTGAAGAGACCAACTGGAAATATTTCTCTCAGACTACAAAGGCCCTGAATTATGTTACTTTTAACTGTGTTCCACCAGAAGGTCTGACCTTGGGAAAAGACGGCAAAAAAGAATATTCTCAGATATGACCATTTTTATTTTGCCTACAATGCTGTGATCTAGTTCAACAAGTGCAGAACTGCTTTCATCTTAATCTCTAAAGTTTTTCTTGTTTTGCCCTCTTGTATAAAAATGATTAGTGTCACAGCTTCACTATCACTAATAAAAAAGATACAAATAGTTACACCTTAAAAGGTCAGGGTCAAAAAAGCAAAAATGAAGCCTGAGGTATAGTTGGTCTAAGATATGACCAATTTGGGTTCTGTACTTTGCCAAGAAATAGGGTATAAAAAAAGATTTAATATCCATGCATGTTATTACCTACTTGCTACATATGTGGTAATTATTTCTCCCAATTTATTCTGTGTATATTAATTATATAAACCAACACATGACTACATTCTTAAAGCAGGTACATACATTCAGCAGAAAAAGACCCCATTCTTTCTCATCAATATTCGTTTTAACAATATTTCTTTGTTTTAACAATTCAAGAAAGTGAATAATGAAAGTGACAAACATATTTTCTTAGGGACTTATTCAGAAAAGGAAAATTCAATCTTTGGAAAAGAGACTTTAGCAAGATTTCTACTCCTCTAGACAAATGCTGAGAACCGACTCTATGCTACAGCATTGTAAAGGGTAGAACTTAATATAGAACTAGAAATGTGGCAAGTTATCTAGTGACTAACATTGTAAAATAGCCAAAAGCTTTAAAGCCACAGGGAGAAAGAAGAACAGTAGAGTGTGAAATGGAAAATGTTATTTTTATAATTCTAAAACTTTACTTGTGTCCTTACATCAATATATTATGGATTTCATTGCTCAGTAAATTATCATCTTTAAGAAATAGGAAGTAAATCCCTACCTCCAACCCAAAAGAACTGGAAATTTTGGAGAAGAGCTTTCTTTTTCCTTTTTTTTTTTGAGGGTAGGAGAACATCATTTTGGGGAAATTTTTTTGGAGAAAAATCTAAAAGTCCTTTGTGTAGAGTTAATAAATCCTTCTTACTCCCATCATCAGTGGCATTATTCTTCTAAGAGATCCTTACATCTCAACTAATGGTGAAATCTGGGGTCTTATGGACCTTATGGTAGCAAACCAAATGACAATGAAATTAACTTAGGTTAATATACTCTATCTAGTCATATTCTCTGTGAATCAGAGATGGCCCTAAAAAGTTTAGAAAGTCCATTTCTGTTGAGCGCAACGAAGAAAGTCAGGTCTACACTATCTTCACGTTACCCTTAAGTACAGGAGAATTTGACTTGGTAGTGGTACTTCCTGGGGTATCTTAAGCAGCAATTTGACACCAGGGGGAAAAGAATTAAGGGCAGGGGCAGGGAACCACAAATATTAAAAAGGAAGAGAAGAAAAAAGAGGAAAAAAAAAAAGAAAAAGAAAAAAGAAAAGAGTAAAGAGAAAAGAGGAAGTAAATCCAAAGCTAGTACCTTCCAGAGACCACTGCATGTATAATCATTTAATGAAGGGGTATATGGCAGAGCTTTATTTGATGTTAATGAATTACAGTTATGGTTCTTAATTGTCAAGCTACCTAAAAATGGCATATTAACTGAACTGCCAAATTAGGACTCTGGTGGAATAAAAAAATTACTCTGATGGTCTGTCCATGAAAGGAAAATGTCTGCAAATAAATTAAGAACTTTTCACTGAGATCTGGAATTTAAACAACGGAAGCGTTCAACACTGCTAAGTGTATGCAGATAAATGACCCCTATGGCTAAGGTTCTTCTGCATGTACTTGTATGTATATATAAATCCATAGATACACACTATATATTTCCTACTAAAAAGATTTAAGGCAGTTATGCTATATGTAAAGTTAGCTATAATATCCAAGGTAAAACAGTTCCTATTTAAGAAATTATGTGAACACATTAGACAAGAAATTCTTTTCATAAAGACTACCACAAGGCTATCTCTAGTATAGTTCAGATTTCCTGGTTGAGGCAACAAACATAGGAATTCCATGCCAAGAGATAATTTGTCCCTCAATCCCCAAACATAAAAAGTAGTCTGAACAGACAAAATATTCATGAAAACCTGGAAAGAAAGATATAATAGGAACGCAACAGGATGATTCTGATGACTTCCAGAAGCCACACACTGTCATCATTACTCCTGATTGTACTAAATACAACAATCCAATATGCTCCAAGGTAGAAACAGGGCTAGAATTGTAGGCTGCGACTGCCATAATAATTCATAATTCTAAACATAAAACAGAATCTGATGATTTATGCTATTTGCTAGTCACAAAGATGTTTAACTGGACTTTCTCCTTTTAAGTGACTGACCAATCTGAACATCAATATTCATGGTGAAGAAGTTAGGACCCTGGGTATGAACAGCACCATCCTGTTTGGTCTTTAGTAAAATACAAGAGAGAGAGAAACATTCCGCTATATGTAGATAAAACATGGTTGGCAAGGAGGAGGGAAACCAGCAAAACCACTAGGGACATATGTTGACAAGAGAAGGAGAGGAAGAACAAAATTCAGCCAATGAAGATGAAGGATTTCACAAAGTAAAACTCATGGAGGAAAGAAAATGCACCAATAATTTGTCACATCTAAACATCAATGTGTTAGATCAGAATAAAAGAAAATGTCATGTGTTGCTTATGTCCACAGACTACTTAGTTATCTAAAGAGATACTGAGGGGGTGGTCTGGAGGGGGCAAAATGTGAAACTGGGATGTTAAACTATGAAAGCAAAGACTGCACGTAAGAAATTTTAAGTACAGTGAAGACTGTCTTGTTTTACCTTATATCTCACCATCAACCAGACCAAGCGGGTGCCTGTTACTGAATAAAGGCTCCAAGTATTTAGCTATTAAAAAAAAAAAAAAAAGATTAAAAAAAAAAAAGGTCTTAAAGGTATATTTAGACAGCTTTTGGAAGAGGTAGAGAAATCAACTAGGTATATATACTTTTTATTTGATTTCAACTAGGTCAAGACCGGGCTGATTGTTTTTCACCTTTAAAGTTTTAGTCTTGATGAAACTGACAATAAAGGTACAAATAAAGTAAAATTAAAATAATTTTAACAAAGGAAAAAATCTGACAATGTTTAAAAGACAGATTGATCAAGCTAAACCAGATATGGTTTAAGGTAAAAATAAAAACTAGATATTCAACAATTTGCAAATATACACTTGGAATACAGAATAAGAGTACAGAACAAGAATATTCAGGTTTTAAGAAAAACTAGGCAGAAATCCTTCCAGTAAAGTGGTAAGTTCCAAAAGAGAAAGTAATCTTCACAATACTAAGCACAGCTTGAGGGTCAGGGCCAAATCTCAGTCATCTTTTTGTTACTCAATGTCTATCACAGTGGCTGGGTAAAGAATAGGCATTAATGAATGGTTACTGAATGACTGTGTATCATAATGCAGAATCAGTGTAATTCAAACATAGCCAGGAAAGTATCTTAAAGCAGGATGAGACAAGAACACAAGCAGTGTTATTCCAAAAGGTGGGCTGAAATCCAGTTGTTTTCTAATCTTAACCAGTAGTTATGACTTTTCAGACTTATTTTTAAAGCAATGAAACAAACAAAGTCTATGTATTACTCCAACGTAGAATAAAAATGAAGCTGCCACTGGTGAGATCAAAGTCAGTGGGGACATAACACCAGCCTCCTATTTCCTAAGCCAGCCCTAAGGTGTGTCTCTATGGAATCTACTGTGAAAGCCGCCATTCATCTTAATGTGATTGCATGGTCATTCAGTTCTCATGTTGTAAACTGAGGAAATTACCAGCACCGTGAAAGAGAAATTCTAAATAGTGTTGCTAATTTAAATAAAGACAAATTCAACAGAGAGGACATCTCATCACTTAGAAGAATGTAAACGATCTTATAAAAGGGGGAGAAAACGATCAACATAATTAGGCCACAGTAGACAAAAAAGAATGTAAAAACAGCATTAAAAAGCAAATAAGGAAAAAAGTCGCTGGTTGGAATTACTATTTGGACACTGCAGATGCTCTTTTGTTGAAATATTCCAAAAAATCTGAATTGTGGATAGCCCAGGAAACGGCTGTGTATTTCTACCTGAATGTGAAGAAAAACAAAGAAATACTTTTTGGGTTCATCATCTTCATAAGAAGAAACTCTGGGGAGGCACTGCTTAAAAACATTTTTATCACTAATGTAAAACAGGTTAATTTTGCCTCTCTGTTAACTACAGTAGTCCCCCACTTATCCACAGTTTCTCTTACTCCTGGTCTACCGTAGTACAGAAATTCCATAAATAAACAATTTTTTTTTAAAAAAAGCAAATGTATAACCATGACCACTGAACATAGTCACACAACTGTAGTCAGCACCATGAAGTAACTGCTCGACAGGTTAAACTGCTCAATACAACAGGTGTTTCCTAAGAGTTGAGTCCCAGCTTCATATTGTATGGAAGAACCCCACCATAACTGTAGAGCTGTAATCCACTACTGAAATGCTATTGTTGGCATTGCTTCACTTAACATATCAATGCAAGAATAACTCCCAGGACCTTCCACCACTTTAAAAGTTGTTCCCCAGAACTGTTCCCTAACATCACTACAAGTAAACACCTCCAACGGGCAGAGGCTCCACTGGTTTATCTCTAGCAGATCTGACAATGCTAATACCTGGGACATTTACTCAAATCATAACATGGATTGCAGAAGTAGTAATTAGTGGGCAGCAGGAAGTCTGGAAGCAAGCAGCCAGACACTGCGATGGTAAAAACTTGCCCAAGGCAGATTTAAAGAAAGGGTTGTTAAATTAAATAGTATTGACCTGGTGCAAATGACAAACTTTTTACAGCAAGGGCTTGAAGAAGAAGAAATATTACTGAGAATGACACATGAAACAGTTTATCACAAAATAAGGCCACCTTCAACTATTATAAATTGTAGAATCATTCTGATCCTCAAGATTGGATCTGTATAGAGGTTTCGTATAAAGCATTCAAACCTAATAATGAGTTTCCTTTAAAATGAGCCT